TCAGGGCACTTTTAAGCCACTTTCTGGGGCCCAGAATTGTAGGAGCGTGAGATGTTCAAAGGTCTGGCGGTGGGGAAGCTAGCTCTCATACAGCCTCATGGCAGAGGATTCGCTGGTTCAGAGGGTGCAGAATGAGACGTGGGGCATTTCCCCTCTAGGGCATCTCTGTTCTGCTGTCACTGTTCCAAGCACAAATTTCTGCCCTTCCGCAGCTACCCTGTTTACATGGGCTGAGGGTAACACTGATCGGTATCAGTGCTGGGTGAGAAAACACCTCTGTCCCCCTGTGTGTGAGATAGAGGCAGGTGGCTCTGATCACCCTGATATCAGTGCCCCACCACAGACATTGTGTACGTGACAACCAAAGTGATACCCTCATTGAGTTTATCAACCCACAAGGGGGCTCAGCCCCATCCCCTGTCCATGGGGTCCCTGGCCTGTCATGGGAGGTGCTGTCCCCCTATGGGGATTCGCACACACAGAGCCAGGAGCATCACTGGTCCAGTCGTTCCTGCATCCCATCCCCCCAGCCAACCCCTCTGCTGGCCCTGAGTCAGGTCGGTAACCCCTACTGTAGCTATCAGCTGGGTACAGACAGCGAGTGGGTCCAGTACTGGTAGGGTGGCAAGATGGATCGAGAATGGATGTATGGGGTCTAGATGGATCTAAAATGGATGTACAGGGATGTGCATCGATCTAGAAGGGATCTACAGGTGGCTATGTGAGTATGGGTAGATCTAAAATGGAACAGCATCAACTGAAATGAATCTAGCATGAATTTTAATGGAGTTAGTTGGGTATTCATGCATCTGTATTGATTTTGAATGGCTCTAGAGAGGTTCTGGAATGGTTCTAGATAGTGACACTGATATCTGGGATGGAAAGAACCCATACATCATCCTTCAGACATGCCAATTCCAAGAGAGGCATCCAGAGCCAAATAATGGAATGGTTGAGATTGGCTCTACCAACAGGCAGATACTAAAAGATGGAAACAGAGTTAATGCCAGTCAAAATGGATTAATGGAAAACAGTCCATGTTCAATAACTACTTTGTCATTCTGAGCAACGTTAAAAGTCATGTTCAACAAGGTGACTGTGCTGATGTGATATATACATGTATTCCCATAGGGAGTTTGCCCAAGTACCACACAACATTCAAATTGAGAAATTATCTCTCTAAAAACTCAACATGGCTCCAAACTGGGCTAACTGATTCTCCTCAAAATATGATCCTCAATGGGGAATCAGCATCCACTGGGGTGTTGCTGGTGGGCCCCGCAAAGCTCTGTTCTGGGTCTCAGGTTATTCAGTATCTGTATCACTGATCTGGAAGTTCATGTAAACTTGTTGCTGGCAAAGTCTGCGGAGAACACAAGGATAGGTGGGATGGGGACATCTTCAAGCTACAGAGCTAGCTGTGTCACCTTATGAGTTGGGCTCAATTAGACCTGCACATGAATCCAGCCAAATGCAAAGTTAGACATCGAGGGACAAGGTATGTCATTCATGCTGGCAGGACAGGAACTGTGTCCTGGAGAGGAGGGACTATGAAAGGGAGCATGGTGGAAACCATTCAAACAAGAGAATGCTGGAGCTAAGCAGCCAGATACCATCCTTGGGTACATAAACCCGGGGATATTCAGTAACAGCAAGGAGGTGGGGTCTGTGACAGGTTCGGTGACAGAGATCTCCTTGGGACTGTCAAACCATGATTTGAGGACTTCAATAGCTCAGACTTAGGTGAGAGGTTTATTGCAGGAGTGGGTAGGTGAGATTCAGTGGTCTGCTTTGTGCAGGAGATCAGACTAGATGATCATAATGATCCCTTCTGACCTTAAAGTCTATGAGTCTATGGGTAGGTCTACTCTTACCTCCGGGTCCGGCGGTAAGCAATCGATCTTCTGGGATCCATTTATCGCGTCTTGTCTAGACGCGATAAATCGATCCCGGATCAATCCCGGAAGTGCTCGCCGTCGACGCCGGTACTCCAGCTCGGCGAGAGGAGTACGCGGCATCGACGGGGGAGCCTGCCTGCCACGTCTGGACCCACGGTAAGTTCGAACTAAGGTACTTCGAATTCAGCTACGTTATTAACGTAGCTGAATTTGCGTACCTTAGTTCGAAGTGGGGGGGTTAGTGTGGACCAGGCATATGAGTCTATGAAATTACCCCTGAGCCCATTTTCCCTGCCAGCTTGAGACTCCAGAACCCTGCCTTGTTGATTCAGACATACTAGCCTGCTTCAACACAGACATGGCATCTGGGACGTGCCCCCAAAGCTTCAGACTTTAAGTAAAAACAGCCCAGCAGGTTACCTGTCTCCAGCACCCAGACACCTAGCTCCCAATTCGATCCAAACCCCAAATAAACCCATTTTACTCTGTATAATGCTTATACAGGGTAAATTTTTTAATTGTTCACCCTGTATATCACTGATAGAGAAATATCCATAGCTGTTTGGTCCCCCAGGTATTAATCACTTACTTTGGGTTTATTAATAAACAGAAGTGATTTTATTAAGTATAAAAGTAGGATTTAAGTGGTTTTAAGTAATAACAGCCAGAACAAAGTAAATCACAAAGCAAAATAAAACAAAATACGCAAGTCTAAGCCTAATATATTAAGAAACTGATTACAGGTAAAAAGAACAGGAGTACTTGTGGCACCTTAGAGACTAACAAATTTATTAG